GCGGAATAAACATTTCCGTTCCGAAATGGCAAAGAATGAGACCAAGGGTAGACGGGAACCCAGAAGGGCAGGCATTAAGCCCCGGAGCTCCATGTTTGGCATTCAGGACACACGGTAGTGAATTGAGAGTTCCAGAAGGTTTGGGCAGCCCCACCTCGTTGTCCTTGGCAGCTGCAGCCCTCAGGCTTCTCTGCTGGGCTGGCTCAAGGGCTGGCTGTATGGTCTCACCCACCGCAGGCTCCCGGGCCTTTCTTTAGGAGGCACTGTGCATTCCTAGAATCTCCAGCTTCCTTGGGTCTTCACTGATCCTTTGACTTTACACCCAGTGCTTCAGCCACACTTATCTCAGAAGTACCTTGCCTGGCCTTGCAGGCCTTCCTTTAAAATCTGGATGGAAGCCTGCCTGACCCCACAACCCTTGAATTCATTATACCAAAGCAACCAGCATCGTGGGGATGATGCTAAGACATGCTGACAGGTTCAGCAGTACCAGGCTGTCATAGTTTGGAGGATATTTTGCAAGGTGAACAATATATAACACAGGACACATATTTTATAACATTATTTATAATACTCACCCAAAGAATGATATACAAGAGAGTACAAGGAAATCTGTCCACACACTATAGACCAAGAATCCAGCTGAGGGCCTGGATCCCATGGATATGTCCTGCATGAGTCCAGTTGAAGACCTAGAGCCCATAACAATGCTTCCCATGAATCCAACTGGAGGCCCAGAGCCCATGACAATATCTCATGCAGGTCTCTTTTACAGATCTGCACTAGGAAGGCACAAAGGTCAGTGGTAGAATCTAGAAAGTCTGTGCCAGCAGGATGAAGGATCTGTGCTAGCAGGCTGAGAGATCTACACTGCAGCCAGGAAGTGATGTGCAAATAAGAACCAGAGCTCCCCCAAAAGATACCACAGCCGTCCTCAGCAACAGTGAGGTCCCGAGCTCCTCCAATGAAGAAGACAGCTGAGTTCCCATCAGGAAAGCCAACACAACAAGCTTCTCCAGGAGACTGGCAGTGCACCATCTTCCTCTCCAGAGCCAGGAAGTGATGCTCAAAGTGAGGACCGGAGCTCCCCCAAAGTGAACCGAAGCTATTCTCAGTACCAACACTGTCCTGAGCTCCTCGGAGGATGAAAACAGCCAAGTTCATCAGGAAAGCCAGCATCACAAGCTCCTCCAAAACAACCAACAGCTCCTTACAGCTTCTACCAGCTCCCAACAGCCTTTCTCTGCTTCCAACAGCCTTACTTCTTCTCCAGGTCTGCCTCTTATGCTGCTGGCAACAATCCCCAGGTGGGCCTCCCACACCCAGCACACGCTTACCCAGTTCAGCTGGATGTTATAAATTGACCACCAATTGTCAATCCACCACACAGGCCCCCTTGAAACATGGCTGAAGCAGCCTCTGAGGGTGTGGATGTTGAGCATGGTGAAAGGATTCCCAGTGAACCAGATCCTTAAGTGATCCTGCTTGAGCAGAGTGCTCAGGCCCTCTCTTGAAAGGAAAGGTTGGCAAGCGCAAGGTCGTGAGTTCGGTTCCCGGTACCGGAGAAAAACCAAAAAAAAAAAAAAAAAAAAAAAAAAAAGAAAGGAAAGGTTTACACTTCTGTGCTTTTGAGCCTGCAGTGGGTGAGATGGTGCAGATTATCCACATGCCCTGAAAGCATCTTTCTTGTTGTTCCTATTGAAAGTACTGGGTTTTATTTAATGGTTCTAGTCTCTTCAACAGCACACATCATTTATCTTCAAGTTTACATGTGATTCCTTTCAGTCCAAGAGTTAAGTTTTCAAATCCTTCTGCCCTACATTTACTCCTAGTTATCACTATAAATCTGGCTTAAAGCAGCCATCAAAACTCATAACACTGTTTGAACATTGGGCTACCTTGAAATTTTCTCCTCCAGATCAGCTCGTCTCCAGTCCTTATACTCAGCTTTCTACAGAGTCTCAGGGCATGGACAAAATGTAGACAAGTTCTTTTGCAGAACGTAACATGTAACTGCCTCTAGTTCAACTCCTAACAGTACATTTTGAAAAGTCATGAACCTGGACTTTACTGTCCACATTTCTATCACAATTTTGATCTTCTGAAACCCTACCAGAGCCATAAATATTAGAAGTCAAAGAGATAAAAGTATGGACTAACTGAAACAAATGACACAAGTTACTCTAGGGACGTGACCTACACAAAGAATGTTGATCAAAGATGGCCCCAGCGTTCACAAACAGAAAAAGTACCACAAAATATATGGCAGAGTACAAGTAACTGTACTCCATGAATTAATTAAGAAACAAAAGAAATGGTTTGCTAGTTACAAGGTGATGGTGGCTTTCACCCAGAATTCAGAAGAAGGCTGGGAGGCCAGGTAATGTGCCCCTGAGGGCAAGCATGAAACTGTGAGAATAAGGATGAAACTGCAGTAGAGACCCTAGAAGTCTGAGAAACCAGGAACAAGGGATATACGAGGAAAATTGTGAGGAGCAAGCAAAGCTAGCTCAAGAGAGATGTCATAGGCCAGGCATGGTGGCTCATGCCTATAAGCCCAGCACATGGGAGGCTGAGGCAGGACGATCACTGCGAGTTTGAGGCCAGCCTGGGCTACAAAGTGAGTTCAAAGCCAGCCTTACTGCATAGTGAGAACTTGTCTCAAAAAGACAAAAGAGAGAGAGAGAGAGAGAGAGAGAGAGAGAGAGAGA